AAATTGAAAAATCAAAGACTGTCGTAAACTAAAGATATTCAAAGTTTATGGCAAACTAAGGTTGCTTTTTTTGGCCTGGTTTTACCTCTCTCATTACTAGTAACCTCCTAGATTGCCTAAATCAGATGCTCTGTTTACCCCTTTTCCTAAAGTACAAATATAACCAAGGTTCAATTTTTCCCAAATTTATTGTATCAGCTTATCTTTATGGTAGACAGTCTTGTCGTGAAAGGATTCTTTGTTGGTTCCTTATCTTTAAGTTAAAGATGACTTAGTGTACACTTGAGCTAATGGTAGCTCCTTTATTAAAAACTAAAAATAATATTTGAAACCTTCACACCCTCATTTTTCATTAATGAATGGGGGGGGAATTGTGAATCTCGAATAGAATTTTAGGCGTTCCATCATTTTTAAGCAAACAGGTGAGTGAAGGCTTTGGTATCTTAGGGTTAAATGGTTGATTAAAATCTAAACTAAACTGTTTGATGATTTAATTGCTCATTTGGCAATATTTTTCTGTCACTTGGCAGTTTTTACGATCTGTTTCAACTTTATTTGCTGACCTCAGTTTTTTTTTAAATATTCTATAATAGTTTGATCATACTAACCAAATTGTTGATCATAATAAATGTGTTTTCCATCTTTTCATATTTAAATGAGCAGGGCTTTTGGCTATTTGACAACATTAACCTCAGTCACATTAAACAGCATCTGCTGTATGAATATTCAGAAAGTGTAAATGATATTTCAAGACATTTTATACTAGTAAATTTTCTAAAGTTAAAATCTTAATTATTATACTTAAAGCGTTATCTTCTTATGCTCTACAGCAGATTTTCGGCCAAGGCTGTCTCAGTCAGCTTCTGCCATCTTGACCTATCCAACGCCACAAACCTCCACCTATTGACATAAACATTCTTTAACCATTTTTCCACATTGTATAGCTGCCTTGTTCATGGTCTTTCTCTCAGTCTCTTTCCCTCTGACTTTTGGACTGTCGGTTTTTTTCTCTGGGTTTTCATCTTCTTATTTGTGTATGGCCTAGCCATCTTAGTTCAGAGGCGTTAGTAATTTTTGTTATATTTAGTTCTCTAAATTTTTGCAGTTCAAAATTGTATCTTATTCTCCATACTCCATTTTCTCTTCCTGCAGCTGCAAAGATTCTTAATCTTCAGATGTCATTAATCTATCCTCATCTGAAAACTAAAATACAGTTGTATACAATTGTATATTACAGAACAGTTTACAAATATAGTTGTATATTACTGTTTAAGTCTTTTGATTTAAACTGGTTTTGTAGAGATTTCCTAACATGTAGTTTTCTACACGGTGAAGTTGTCAGCCTCATGCCCAACCTCCAACCTGGAAGACCAGTCTCTTAATATAATCCTTAGGGGCAGGGTACCTGGTGTAAATACGCATATACATCCTTTGTCGCGTTCACTAAAATATTCAAATCAAATAATAAAGAAATTTCGCTTACCTGTCAGACGCAGCAAGGAATCTCGCCTTTTGTTATTTTGTCCAGTTTTTATTGATGACATAATAAATACATTTACAATAAAGAAGCACATATAAACTTGTTTCGCAATTTACATTTAAATTAATTTCCTGTTACATAACTCACAGTCATCAAAGTTTTGAAGTCCTCAAAAGAATTCAGGTACACACAGCGCCATCTGGTGCAATTAACAGTTTCTACAGACTGCCCCCCCCCGAATGACTAGGGGTTCATTCAAACATTTACATTAATACAAATTTAACAAAAGAAACTCTTACAATGTAAAGTTCAATCAATTCACCTATTAAAAGAACTACATTTATTTACTATATGAACAAATAATTTATTTTTAAACAATTTGCAAAGTTACCTGCAATAAAGTACTATAATAAAGATAATAAGCTGTCAACTCAATACCTGTACATACATTAAAACTTTCATCACATATCTGGAATAGTCCTGTAACAATAATACAGATTAATAAACAATTAAATTCATTCATTTATTTCAAGATTATATAAAAGCTGCACAGGTCTTTTAATAACTGATAATTTCACAAGACCTTACTTTTCCATTTTTGCCAGGAAATACTGTTACAACTCTTCCTAATTTCTAAAAATGTCTAGGTAGATTTTCATCATGAATTAATTAATACGATATCATTCACTTTAAATTCAGTAATTTTACCTGAAGGTTTAACACAATGAACAGATCTCGGCATTAATAGGTATTCATTTTTCCATTTATTCCAAAACAAACTTACCAATCTTTCTCGATAATTAAATCTTTTAATTAGCATTTTCCTATTAACTAAATTACAGTCAAAATGAAGCCTGGCAGGAGGCAAACTATTTACTTTTGTGCCCCAATAGCATATGAGCTGGAGTTAGAGGCATAGGTTCCTGTAATTCAGAATAAACATAAGGACAAGAATTAAGCACACCTTCAATTTCAATAATTAGTTTCTAACTCATCTTGAGATAAAGTAGTTTTCTTAGTGTTTTTCGTAAAACAAGTTTTACAGTTTTGATTAATCTTTCATAGAAGCCACCCCGCCAAGCAGCTTTCTCAGCTATGTAACACCATTGGATTTTGTGGAAGGCATAAAAGTCTTTTACAGTTGGATAACTAATGACAGTCCACAAGTTTTTAAGTTCATTTATGATCATTTGAAAGTTTTGGCATTGTCCGTCAAAACCTGAGAACACAGACCTCGACGAGCAATGAATCGTCGAAAAGCAAGAAGAAATATTTCTGTGGTCATGCTGCCAACAAACTCTAAATGAAGAGCTTGCGTTACTCCACAAGTAAGCACGATGTAGTTTTTCGCATCTCTGTCTTTGGTATAAAGTGGTCCACTGAAATCTATACCTACTACAGAAAAGATGAGAATCTTGAGCTGAAGTTAGAGGCATAGGTTCCTGTAATTCAGAATAAACATAAGGACAAGAATTAAGCACACCTTCAATTTCAATAATTAGAGTTTCTAACTCATCTTGAGATAAAGTAGTTTTTCTTAGTGTTTTTCGTAAAACAAGTTTTACAGTTTTGATTAATCTTTCATAGAAGCCACCCCGCCAAGCAGCTTTCTCAGCTATGTAACACCATTGGATTTTGTGGAAGGCATAAAAGTCTTTTACAGTTGGATAACTAATGACAGTCCACAAGTTTTTAAGTTCAAGTTCTGATCATTTGAAAGTTTTGGCATTGTCCGTCAAAACCTGAGAACACAGACCTCGACGAGCAATGAATCGTCGAAAAGCAAGAAGAAATATTTCTGTGGTCATGCTGCCAACAAACTCTAAATGAAGAGCTCGCGTTACTCCACAAGTAAGCACAATGTAGTTTTTCGCATCTCTGTCTTTGGTATAAAGTGGTCCACTGAAATCTATACCTCCTACAGAAAAAATGAGAATCTTGAGCTGGAGTTAGAGGCATAGGTTCCTGTAATTCAGAATAAACATAAGGACAAGAATTAAGCACACCTTCAATTTCAATAATTAGAGTTTCTAACTCATCTTGAGATAAAGTAGTTTTTCGTAAAACAAGTTTTACAGTTTTGATTAATCTTTCATAGAAGCCACCCCGCCAAGCAGCTTTCTCAGCTATGTAGCACCATGGGATTTTGTGGAAGGCATAACAGTGTTTTACAGTTGGATAACTAATGACAGTCCACAAGTTTTTAAGTTCAAGTTCTGATCATTTGAAAGTTTTGGCATTGTCCGTCAAAACCTGAAAACACAGACCTCGACGAGCAATGAATCGTGAAAAAAAGTGATTTTGGACATCTGAAAGCTATTGAATTTTCTCTAGATTATATCTAAAACAAAACCGTGCGAATCAGATAACTTCTGCTTTCTGAGTGAGAGCATATACATATCCAGAAATGTCGTTCTCCAGTTCTCCAATGGGCAAAGAGCTCCACTGCATGTCATCTGGCATGTATTAGCCAATGAGGACAAAGCAAGCTGTTATTTGGATATTCTTTAGTTATTTCGTTCATTTTGTCCTGAGTTGTGTGAGTACACATGCTTTCGGGAAATAGTTTTAGAAATTATCGTCTTTTGTTAAGTCTGTGAGAAAGGTGAAATACTCGTGTACGTTTCGAAAATCTTACACAGTTGACTTTTCTTCCATTATTTCCTCAAGGAAATGTAATAAATTTACAATGTTTACCACCTGTTGTTGCGATTTTTCGATTTCGCATTGTGGAAGGGCGGATGTTCTCAAACATGTGCGCACACAAAAACACAAGGGCAACATGAATTGTTTTGGAAAAAAAAAAAAAAAAAAAAAAAAACCGAAATATTTTCTTTGGAAACAAAGGGCCAAAAAGTTATTAAGGCAGAATGTCTGTTCTCTGCCTTTTTACTAGAGCAAAACCTGCCACTGAATGCATCGTATCACGCTGCAGCTTTATTTAGAAAAATGTTTCCCGATAGTGAAATTGCTAAGAAATACTCAAGTGGAAGAACCAAAACAGGTACATGTTAAAGAAATATATTTGAAAAATAAATCTTCAGTTATCGATTGCATTAAAACAGCTCCATTCTGCCTCTCTACGGATGGAAGCAATAATACCGATTCAAAAACTGTATCCAATTGTTGTTTCTTTTTTTAAATCCAGAGTCTTTAGAAGGACATTTGACAGGCTTTAATATAGCATAGCTAATAATTAAACCTTTAAAAGAAAATGCAGTTCTTCTGGATGATTGCTTAGCACTTGGTGCCGATAATGCACCAGTATTGGTAGGCTTGAAGACTGGTGTTGCAGGTGTCTTAAGAAAGGAAAATTCATCATCATTAATCTTATATGAACAGACTAGCTTACACATAGCCTCAATTGTTTACATATTTTAATTTATCTGCAGCATCCCCCTCCCCCAGTGTAAGGAGCATTTCTATTGTGAACTTGTATTTGTGTTAGCTTGTCAATAAAAATATGAACAAGTTTTAAACAATACAAGTTCTCACATTTTTACTTTTATTTCTGTTTAAGATCCTCATGAAGCGGATAAAATAACAGCAGAAGGTATAATGAGGTTTCTTGAAGACCTGAATCTTTCTCCTGAGAGTAGACTTGTTTTAATTACAGCCTGGAAATTTAAGGCAGCCACACAGTGCGAGTTTACTAAAGAGGAGTTTATTTCTGGAATGACTGAATTAGGGTAATGAAGTTTTTCTCATTATTTTAACCTGAAAATATATTTTAAACATAGTTGATTCTGCATAATATTTTATTCTCAACTGCTTGGAAAGAATTTTAAAACAATAGTATGTGAAATATGTGTAAAATGCTTTTGTTTGAATGTAAAACAATGTAATTTATTTATAGAGAATATAGCTAGATTAAGCTGAGGTAATGAGTGGGTTCTGATATCACATTAGAGTCAGAATAGCAGTTATTACAACAGAAACATAGTACCTTATTGATAAAGGAGAACATTCTAAAACATTAAAATGATTAAAATATGCACTTAGACAAAGGGGATGCCATTTGCTGGTAATATTTATTACCTACACTTGAATACTCAGCATTGACGCTTTTTGACTTTTGAGTGTAAACAATAGATCATATCTGCAGAAAGCTAATACTGATACTCAGTGGATGTTGCAGTCAGCCATATTCTTGGAAAAAGTTTTATACAAGATTTGTGTATGAGTCTGTCTAAATAATTGTAGCAATTATATGAAAATGTCTTTCTGGTTGGTATGATGGTTAGTGGAGGCTGATTGCTGGCTTAAAACCAAGGGTTTGTCTCCTGGGTAAAGCTTGAATTCTCCTTGCAGGTATAATATTAATTTTCCTGTATGGTGTAACTCTGGGCGATGTTTTTGGTGATGAGACAGCTAATCGATTTATTTGAGCCACAGTTACTGATAAATTCTTAACTAGCTAATGCCCAGTTGTTAGAGTAAGAAAAAAGTTGCAAGAAAATGTGATGTTTGAATGCAAAAATATGTCTAAATTTTTACTAAGTATTCCACTTTTCTGAAAATGCAAATTATGAATGTATTTCATATGCTTTTAGAAGACATGAGGGGCTGATATGCCATAATATATTAATGACTATCATCTTAGAGGAATTTTTTTTTTTTTTTTTTTTTTGTTTACAGCTATAGTGCGAGTTTACTGTATTTTCTAAGGTTTTACTGTGAAAACCGAAGCATTTCTGAAATAATTATTTTGATAACTGACAATTTGTTGGCATTGTTAGAGGAAAAGAAATTTTTCCTCAAAGTTTTCATACTTGTTTCTCATTTAGGAAAAAAGCAGCACACACACACAGACACACACACACACACACACACACACAAAAAAAAAAATCAGCATCCCAAATCTAAGCAATTTTTCATATATTATTATGAAAATAAACGTTTTAACAAAAAATGCACTGTACTTTTATAACATACTTTGATTGAACGAGTGAATGTATTTTATTATTGAGGTTATTCAGCATTTTTTGCATCCACAGCAATTTTCTTTTTATAATAAACAGAGACTGTGACTCTTGCAGATTTTTTTACTTTTTTTGTATATTCCATGGTCTTTCAATATTTTGAATTGATGTAATTAATTATAAAATTATATTTATGTCAGGAATTTATTTGTGCCAAACTTTTTGGATGCCCCTGTGCTTACATCAGTGGGCAAATAGCACTTATTGTTGTTATTATGGCATTAAAATGTAAAACAATTGGGCTAAGGAACTAAGAAATTCTTTCAAGCCCAAAATTTCAGTTGTAGCACTTCTTTTTTTTTTTTTACATTTTTAATCCAGTTGCTCATGCATGAAAGATGCTGAAAGGAATATAGGAATTCAATTTAAGGATGTCCTTACTTTTGGGTAGTTTAGGGAAGTCCTTCCTTTTGGAATTCTTTTATTTCTATATTTTGTCTTGCAACTACAATTTCTTTAAATAATTCTGTAATTATAAATGTGTTTTAATTCTGAGACATCCAGATTTAATGTAAAAACTAGGGGTAATAAAAAGGAAAATGTAAACAGAACTCGGAAAAAACATGATGCAGAACTCGCAAAATTCACTAATATGCACAACTCTTTTATCTAGGGTGTGTGGATTATTGGAGCTTTATTATATGTACTTTTTACGATTTAGAGCAGCATATTGTTCCAATTCGCTGATAATTTAAGAATTTGAAAGTTTTTGTCCAAATTTGCATGTATAGATTTAATCCCTTTTACTTCAAAAACAGCAGTTTTAGAATTAATTTTAAATTATTAAAAGGATAATTATAGGGTGTTTTGTGTAGCTGATTTTTGCATGAACTTTTAATAGTATATACTCATTTGTACCAAAATCATCAAAATATTTTACCTTTTTCCCCTTCTGAATATCACTTTGTTAAGGACGTTTATTTTATTATTCCAGGTGTGATTCAATTGAAAAACTGAAATATAAACTACCAACTCTGGAAAATGAGTTAAGAGATGCAATAAAATTTAAGGATTTTTATAACTTTACTTTTAATTATGCGAAAAATCCAGGCCAGAAGGGTTTAGGTGAGTGTAATAATAAAAAGTAATGATGTCTTGTGTAAAAAATGCATTAAATTATTATATTTGAATTGTGATAGTGGTATAAATAGCTGTATACTTTTAGATTTGGATATGGCTATTGCATATTGGAATATTGTCCTTCCGGGGCGTTTCAAATTTTTAGATTTGTGGTGTCAGTTTCTCCAAGTAAGTATTTTCTATAGATTTTTCTATATATTATCCTAATAGATTTAAAAATGCATTATTTTTTTAAATATTATATTTTTGCTGTGTGAAATGATGAATATTCATGTGTAGGCCTTTTTTGTTTTTTGCTGAATGGCAACAGTTAGTTAGTCATGTAAATAAACATGTAACGTACATTTGTGGTTTGCTCATTTCTTTCTACTATATTTCAAAAAGCATATCTGCCATTTAAGTGATTTCTACCAGACTTCACTGAAACATCTTGTGCACTCTTTCAGCCCTTGCTTCAGACGTATGAGGTCAACCAAAACTCTTGCCTTTACGAAGGCATCCAGTTTTCATGGAATGGTCCTTAACACCTATTTATGTTATTCTTGTATGGTGGATCTTTCCTAAAACATGCAATGAGATTTACACTGCACTGTAACTACAGATCTGGACACCTAAAATGGAGTAAACGGAATGTCTTTTCCTGTTGTTAGAAATTATTTTTTTCGTTAAACTAACTTTATCTACCAGTTGCGTTGGTTGATAAATTTTATGCAGTTTCAACCAAGTTACATATTAAATTTTACACTTTTTGTATGTGCTGCTTCGAAGAATTTTATGCCGATTGTTAAAGCTATACTTTTGAAAACATTACTAAATATCTGTTTGATATTCATGATTGATTATGCATGCATTTGCAGTAGACCCAAGCTTAAATTAAAACCATTTTTATTTGAAAATGCAAGGTTTCAAAAATTATTTCATTTAGCTCATCTGTGTGCAATTAATGGTACTTTTATTTAACACTTTTTTCTTTTAGCTCTCAAATAAAGGTATTTGTATTGATTAACTGTGAACTTTAACTAAGCTGAGAAAAAATTAGCTTTGCTTACTTTGCTTTGCAGCCAAAATCATTCATTCATTTATGCAATAGCTGATGACTCAGCAAAGATGATGCAAAATTACTGTTATGGAACCGTTTCCTGGACCCTTAGCCGTGTTAGAAAAAATTGCAAAGGAAAAGTCCACAACTTAGAACCGAATAACAACACAAATACATAATACAAAAATAATTATTTGCCTATACTTTTATTTTTAAATTTATCCCAACATGTAAAGAAGGTCTTATATTTGAGGTGACTTATTTTTGAGTAAATACAGCATAATGTATTTTACATGTCATATTCCTTATTTTCTTCTTCTGTACTTTCTTTTAAATTAGTATTGTGTTGTGGTGTAAATGCAAATTTAAGAAAATGATTTGTGTTTTATATTTAAGTTTTATGCTAACTTAATTTTCACCCCCAGGAACATCATAAACGATCCATCCCTAAAGATACTTGGAATTTACTTTTAGACTTCTGTAATATGATTTCAGATGACATGAGTAATTATGATGAAGAAGGTATGTATGCAATGTTAAAAAAAAAAAGTCTTTTTTTGCCAAAAAAATTAATTAACTGGATTATTTTTTGGGTCCTATTTTTGAACACCTTGCATAATAGTTATTTAAATAAAGGTCATGGTGTAGACCGATCGTTCTCAGCATCTGAGCTCTCTTTATAAGAATCTGTAATGCAACCTGCAGCATCATCTGTCGGCGCAGTTTGTAACTAAATTTTTTAGGTTTCTCTATCAAATTCTTATGGTTTTTAGTAAACACCACTAGTTGTTTCATGGTTCTGTCTACTGCTGTTTCCGAGTTGTTTATTTTCGAAGTATGGGTTCCTTCGGGAAACACCCTGTAATAACGTAAATAAATTAAATCCTGCTGTAATAATTTTGTTTAGTAATTTGATACTGTGGAGTGTCAGATGTATACTAACAAGCCGAGAACCTGACTGAAGATGATTAACTAAGAAAGGTGGTTAATGAAAAAAGAATGACATTATAGGACTGAGAATAAAATGCAGTGTGATGATATAGCACATTTTTTATTTCTAGTTATTATGGTATTTTAAAACGTTACTTCTGGCTACTTGAAAGTTAAGTCATACTTAAAAGCTTTTTAAATTTTTTATAACAGATTGGAGCTCCTGCGTGCCATTTACCTGAGACAAGTGTTTCTGCCTATATCGTGCATTCTAGTTAAGCAGCTGTCGCTATTTAAATATTGTTAGGTTCAGAATCACAAAATCTACGTATAATGCAATGGGTAACTAGATAAAAACAATGCACAAGAACAAATAAATAGGCTAAAATATTTGCACAACTTTGCAGCAATATATTAATCTAAAAATAATCTTAAGTTATGTGTTTGATTTTGTTGATATTTTTGATACATAGTTTAAGTAAGTTAGTGGCATTCAGGTAATAGAATAATGCAGTTTGAATTATGTACAGAAATGAAGTAATTTTTAAACTAAATGCTGGATACTGTAGTTTCCTTTAACAGTACGTTTTTAAGCAAAATGTTAACATTTTCATAGAGTTTAAATTTTTAAAATCATTTCTGTAGTGTTAAACTTTATTTTTTAAACACCTCATACAGGGAATATTTTAAAGTGTATAAATGTTTGTGATTATCTATGCACAAGAGCAAATTAAAAATTGCAAGGAAATTTAACAGGTGTAGAACTTTTTTTGTGTATTGCAGTACTTGTGTGATATTTTTGTACATTTATCAAAATTATCAACTTTTGTAAAATATTAGATTATCATTAGTCACGCTTTTGAGACATGAAAAACACAATTTGAATTTTGTCAAACGGCCCAGTAGAACGGGAGACATAGAACTGCCCTCCTTTTTTCTTTTCTCGCAGTGTGTCCATATTCTATCCATGGCTATTCACAAGGTTAATTGTATATGGCTATATACCAGTACACGGAGACAGACAACAGAATTCAATATCAGTTGATACTTTTGAGTAAGAGTGATAAATCACAATGCATTATCCAACAGTTCATTTATATTATATACTGTATGTGAACAGGTACCATATTGTGACACTATAACGAAATTAATCTGAACCTTCTATTTAAAAAAATAATTAAATTGAGGTCCAGGGATTATATAAAACATTTTAAATATTATAATGCTTAATATCGCCTGCAAAGTTTCTTCATTAATTCTTATGCTGCACCTTTTTTTTTTTTTTTGGTTTGTTTTCTGTAGGTGCTTGGCCTGTTTTAATTGATGACTTTGTTGAGTGGGCTAAACCAATCGTAAGTGCTGGACGAAGTACGCAAGTATGATGCCAAGTGATGATTATCTAGTGTGTTCTTTGTAATGATACAGCTAAAGCTGTATGGTGCATCATCTTCAACTATGGTACCACATTTTGTTTGCTACAGCAAATTTGTATAATAAAAGCCACTGTAAATAGTACATCTTGTACATCCATTGTAGAAATAAAAGTTCTGCTGTCTGATTTCTAATGTTTTCAATATTGAATGCCTGAAGCTTATTTGTTTGAAAGGATTTAGAAGGCATTACTCATTGTACGCTTGTCAATTTTAAAATAACGTCTATTTTTGTTGAAAATAAAACATAGCAGTTTAAGAAAGCATTTGTGTTATAGATTGAAGGTTTTTTTTTTTTTTTTTTTTTTTTTTTTTAAATTTGTTATCAGTTTCTTCTTTTGTGCATGCTGTATTCTTGTTTGTTGTCACATAAAAGGAATTTTAAATATTAGGTCTCAAGTAGTTAGTATTTTATTAGTTATTTTCATTAAATTCATCCTATCAATACAGAGTGTTAGACTTCTGTTACATGTATTTAGTGTATGTGTTATTAAAATATTTATGTTTAAAAAAATATATTTTTGTATAATGCAAAGACCTAAAAATTACACAACATACCATATAATTTTTTAATGAAGTCCGAGTTTTAAGTTATTATTTATTGAATAGTGATATTATAACTTTTAAATTATTTATTGAACAGTGATATGTAACTTTAGAAAAAAGGTTCTTTGTTTACAGTGGTGACATTCTGTGTTGCGATTTGTTTTTTGTGTATTAATGAAATGCTCACAGAGGAAAATATATTCTGAATCAAGGTTCTCAACCTTTTTAAACTTTTGCTTCTAGAACTGCATCTGGACTTTAGTTTTATTAATCAATTGCAGGTGCAGAGTAACTGCTAAATAATAAATAAAATCCATATAAATCATGTATGGTTGGTGCTTTGAAATATATGTAAAATAAATCACATTAAAATGTGTAAATTTTTGAAATGTTTAACTCGTACTTTTAAGTCTGAGAATTTTTTTTAAGTGCTAAAAAACTGGTTTCGAAATCATGGTTGCTCAGAATGTATTTTGCAGCATGAAAAATTTTAATTTCATTGTACTTTGTATTGAATTCATGAAAAGCATTCAGTTACTCTTGTTAATTTGATAGCTAGTTCATTATTGTTCCATTTGGTCAGGAAAGTTGAATTTCAGTGAGAACTTTTATAAATACCTTTTATTCATTGAAACAATCTACATGTTATTATTTACATCTTAAAGTGTGTGGATATTTCTCGCAGGATTAAAATCCACGAAAGTAATTCCTGAGTATACGAGTTTTTTAATAAATTAGTCATTTTTCCCCTAACAAATCTGACCTAAATTGTCTCAAAATGCAGATTTAACACTAAGGGAAGGTATTTCGTGTATCTGTAATAATAGTCATAAACTTCAATGTAATGACCCAAAAAAAGTCTTCAGTGTTTATACTTTTAGGTTGGAAATCATTTTAAGCGGTCTGATAATTTGTATCCAGGCTGATTTAAAATTCCAGCAAACATTAAAAATATTTGTATTTCACTGACTTTGCAGTTAATAAAACAGAAATAATAAAAACCCTACTTTTTTAAAGGAATTTTATTTTGCATATTTTTAGGAAGTATTAAAATTCATGTAGCATAACCCTAGTGTGCAGTGTATTAAGCATTTTAATAGGAGAAAAGCACAAGCATGCACACTACGGTAATCAATACATTTGCACAGTGCTTTGATATATGAGCCAAAAATAAGTCATGAAAGAAAAGAATAACGTTAATTATTGCATCTGGGTAAAATGTAGCTATAACAAATCCTAAAACAGAAATAATAAAAACCGTACTTTTTTAAAGGAATTTTATTTTGCATATTTTTATGAAGTATTTAAATTCATGTCCATCAGGCTGCACTTTTTCCATAAGCAAATGCAAAGTACCTCATAATGAACTGTGAAGGCAGCAGCCATCATTATTGAGTAGGGCCTAAATATAGGCTGAATTGTATCTACTGCAGAAGCAGCCTTTCCGTATAAATGACTTACATATGCTATAATGTAGCATCATTTCATGTTGCTGATAGTGTTAACCCTGTGTTCATTCATGTCTTTAGGCAGTTTCATAATTAAAAATCATAAGATTTCAGTTGAAATCTGTAGAAGCATTCGTATTAAAAATAATGGCTTATGACACGATTTTAGTTCAAAAAGTTGAGAGTAAGAAAAGCAAAAAGGAGGTGTTCCTGATTGTACATATTTGTCGACTTCTGGGACCACATAACCAAAAACCTTAAGGTTCTAGGTCGAGATCTGAATGGTCATTCATGCAGGAAATAACAGCTTACTGTTTGTTCACTTCTATTCAAAAGCTGAAACGGTACAAGTTTGTTACTAGAAAAGTAACATGGAATGATGCTTGTATCGTGCATGAATTTCATAAAAGTCTAATGCATGCCTTTCTTCCGAGATTAAAAAAAAGTGCTCTTTGGCAACTGGTTAGTGTAATGTTCACTTGCAACCGTATTAATTGAAAAGCAGAGACACATTTAAAAGCTCAACACTGTGTTGAGTGGAGTTCAAGCAAAAATATTTGTAGCATAACCCTAGTGTGCAGTGTATTAACCACTTAACAGATTCTTTTTTCCGTCATATTATGACAAAAAATAAGCATATTTTTTATAAACATTTTTATGAAGAAAGTCATTATATAAACCCAAATCAGCAGTCAGAACTATTACAAGTATTGAATTTATTGATTTATGCTAATTTTTATTTTCATCGTAAAAAGCACATATTTCCTTAAAGTTGGCTTTTTTCGAACAAGTAAGCGAACTGGAAAACACACTTTACAAAAATAGATGTCAGAATTTAAAATGTTTTATTGTTATTACATATCTGTTCGATTCCAAAGAAGAATTATTAATATCAAGAAAGAAGGATTATTAATATCAAGTTCATAAAAGTTCCAAATTTGCGTTAGATTATCTATACTTTCCGTTTCTTCATCACTAGAGAAGTCAGACAACAAACTGTCATTACTTCCAGAATCATTTAGTGAAATTTCAGATTCACTATCTGAGTCAATATCAGAGTTATATCTTCAGTTATAAGCTTCTCATTATCATTCATTTCTTCTTTTATTTTAGCTCCAAATTTAAAACAAATAGTATTCGCAGTAGCCGGAACCCGGAGCTAGTGAAAAGAAATTTCGCGCCTTTATTTGCGTAAAAGAATTCAGTAAAACCTAACCTTGAAACCAGTTGTTTTGCAATTCTAACTTTACTGGACTACTAGCGCCATCTGTTAGAAACATTACACACTAAACAAGCAAAAAATTCGGGCAAATCAGTGTATTAGACTAGAAAAAAGTTTTGCCCGAGCGCCGTAAGTGCCATTTACCCGTTCGGGCAAAACTGGGAAGTGGTTAAGCATTTTAATAGAAGAAAAGCACAAGCATGCACACTACAGTAATCAATACATTTGCACAGTGCTTTTATATATGAGCAAAAAATAAGTCATGAAAGAAAAGAATAATGTTAATCATTGCATCTGGGAAATTTAATGATTAAAATGTAGCTATAATAAATCCTTCCTTAGTGATTAATCCGTAATATGAAACTAACGTAGTGAAAATGAACGTTTTAATGTAATCAAAGATTTTGCCTGAAGGTTTTTAATTTTGTTCTTTACTGACTTGTGTCCAGACTTCTGCTGGTCTTATAGCTTTATAATAGGAAATGTTTCTTTCATTATCTCTTTTGGTCTTGGAATGGTTTTAAAATCAAAAGGTCTTAAAATGCTTTTAACTTCTTTTATTTTCCTTATTGGCACCCAAATGATCTTCATATGATGTTGGATCTGCTGTTTTCTCTGACTGCTATGAATGAACTAATTGAATGTTGTATCTGTCAGTCAGGACACATTTTTTTTTTTTAATCCAAGGCAGCGGTCCTCAACCTTTAATAATGTGTACCATCTAAACAAAAATTGAAAAACTTTAGGACCATCACTACATTTTACAATTATTTTTTAATTTCTCAATATAAATATTAAAAAAAAATTAATTTTGCCATTTGCATAACCTATTGGCTATTTGTATTAAATATGCACATGAAAAATATTAATTTAAAATTATCAAAATTTAAGTTATAATACTTTAATTCTAAAATTTAGTGTGAAATTTGGGTCTGTTTAAGAGAGAGCAGTTTTTATATCTGATCTTGTTTCGCTTAGTTTTTAACCGTAAATTAGGATCCAATTTTAATTTTGTTCTGTATTTATTTTTCAAATATAACATGGGAAAAAATGCTTGTTCATACAAATAGGTTGTGTAAAAAAGGCAATCAGTTTTTCAGTCTTTTCTTGCATATTCTCCCCTTTGCCGAATTTTGTTAACACTTTTTTTGAAGAAGTATGCAATATAGTTTTTTAGTTTCTTTATACTTCAGAAGATATACTATAGTGTATATATTAAAATCACCTATTACTACTACTAGTATATATCTTGCACTACCTGTAGTTATTACAGTCAAAAGTCGTTCATCCGGACTCGTCGGGACTTCGGCGAATCCGGATTATAGATCATCAGTTTAAATCTCGTAAGATGGCATGCAGAAATTATAAAATTAAAAATATGAAACCATAATTTATGAAATAAAGAACAATTATGATCTAAAGGGTATCAAAACTTACAAATAAAAAAGCTTAATATTTATTTGTTTACTTTATTAAACATTTCTTTCAATGTAAGTTGTTTAAGTTGCTTCGTTTTATGTGATAATACTTTCTCTTTAATTCTATAAACAGACATAATTTCTTGTTCAGTTGCAAAGTTCCACTGTTCAAGTCCCGTAATTGCTGTGCCAAGAATACCGACTAACTTGTCAATCGAAATTTTTTCGTTTTCATTAACCTCTCTGTCACCTTCTTCATGTCTTTATCAATTTTTTGCAGGAATTCCACTTTTTGTTTGATGGACATCGAAACATACTTTCGTTTTGTAGATCCTTTGGGAACTCCAGCATTGGAAATTCTATTTGACATAATCGAAAGTTCAAGTTTACTTTTATAAAATTGCTCTTACAGTCTGCAAAAAATAATAAGCCAGGGATCCAATTCGAAGATTAAGGAACAATGCAATCATCAACATTAACTGAAATAGATAATTAGATAATTTTAGCTTATACCGTCCGATATACATAAAACGCGCATGCGAAAACGTATTCTGCGCACACGCATATGCGCAGTCGTAAAGGTCTTAAGCGCACGCGTAAACGCCTATGCACATGTGTCAACGCGGCGCA